CTTAAGTCACACCAATGACTCGACTCAAGACTCGTCTTGGGTTTTACCCTGAGACTTGCGACTTGACTCGAGACTTGCTAATTTTTTATTTTCGAATGTTTTTATTTTAACTTACGTTTAACTGGTTTGTAGTCTAAGCGAGATCCGAAGAAAAATATCGCATTTAGGCTCTTTTGTTTTCAAAAAATTCCAACTTTTTTGTGTGCGTTCTGATTGGTTCATTTTTTCTTCAACTCATTAAATTTATTGTTTATAAATGTTCGGTGATTTTAATTTCTTATTTAAATTTTTTTTAATTCATTCTTTTTCTTTCCTTAACAATCTTCATTTTTCTTTTATTTATTTTTACTTTCAAAATTATCTTTTATTATTATTATTTTTTCATGTAATTTATTTATAAAATTCATTGTAAAAAAGCATCCGCCATTCCGGAAGTCTTTGCACTGCTGTTCTAATTTTAAGTATTTAAAATTGTGTTTGCTACTAATTTCGGTGATTTGTAAAGTTTCATAAGTTATCTTAAAACTATGAGTGCTATAAAAATTCAAAAAATGCCTGCAGTACCTGGAATAATTAATTTTGGTTATACTGATTTGAAAAAAAAAAAAAAAACTAGATTGGTACGAAGTAAATTTTGTCAAGCTTTAATTACCGATGGAGTTGCGACTACAAGCAACTTCATTCGCCATTTAAAAACACATCCAGGAAAATATGAATTGTATCAAAAGTTTATTCAGACAAGACCAACGGCTGCTTCACCAGACCAATCTAAGATTTCAGACTTTCGAGCAGGTTATTTACTTATACTAATTTGTTTTTATTTTATTAGATATTTAAAATATATTAAACCCTAGAGTCCGTTCTATGTCTACCTCTAGTAGACAAGTAGTTTACTAGAGGTCTGACATTCCATAACAGTTTTTATAGTTCTTATTAGCTTGTACGACAATACGTTGCAGTGTCGCACTACATCTTACCACTTAACCCGAAGCTTTTAAATAAAGCTTTAAACTTAGCGTATAAAGCATGGTGTTAAGAATTATTACTTTATAGAATGGAATGATATTGCATTTATTATTTGTAGTTGCTTAGGGAGAGAGTTCTATGACAACATACGGCCGCACCCACCCCAAGCAACAAAGAATTTTGGCAGCCGTTGTGAAACATCTAGTAGTTGGTGCATCACTACTCGTGTCTATAGTAGAAAGTGAACATTTTAGGCGATACAATAACATTCTTGATCCTTAGTGCTCAACTATTAGCCGTTTTGCCGTAAAAACCTATTTAGAGAAAACATATACAGATGCAAAGGAAAAGTTAACTGAAAATTTATGTCAAGCTGCAAGCATTTCCCTAACACTTGATATTTGGTCAGATAGAAAAATGAGGGGTTATCTTGGTGTAACAGCACATTACATACATAACTATCACTGTCACACACGACTGTTGGCATGCGATAGGTTCTTAGGTGCTCACACTGGTGATAACATAGCAGAACATTTTGAATCCATTTGTAAAACATACAAAATTCTTGACAAAGTTGTGTATGTTGTGACGGACAATGCCTCAAACATGCGCAAAGCATTTACTACAAATTTTCCAGAAGACCCCGAAGGTGGCGGTGATGCATCTGCAGAGGAACTTGCAGAGGACTTAGAAAATGAAGACCTGTGGGAAGACATTATTGCACTGGACGAAATAATCCAAAATACCAATCAGCTTAACCCAAGAAGAGAGGTTACAAGACTAAGCTGTTTTGCTCACACCCTACAATTAGTTGTTGGCGATGGTCTTAAAGAGGCAAAAATTTACTCCTCTCAAGCTAAAGCATCCAAAATATGCACTTTGCTTCATACTAGTACAACTTTTAAAGAGGCTTTTGATAAAACGTTTGGCTCCAAACAGGGTATTCTTTGAGTAAACGCATTAAGATGGAATTCCACATTCAGTCACATAAAAAGCGTTGTCAATTTAGATGAAAAGAAATTGTAAAACCTGCTTGATGATTTAAGTCACCGCAATCTAATACTAAATGAAAGAGAATACGTGCAACTTAGAGAGCTCATTGATTTATTGCAACCATTTCTTGAAGCCACCGATATGACTCAAGGTGAAAAAAATATAACAATTTCATTAGTAGTTCCCTCTATCGTTGGGCTATATAGTCACTTAGAACAATTTAATACAACTTATCTGTCTGGTATGAAACAGGTATTGCAAAACAGTCTTCAAAAAAGATTTTCTGGTATATTTGCAAATGTTGACCTTATCCCATCAATAGATAAGAAACTACCATTTAATGACTTGATATATATTATTGTCACAGTTTTGGATCCCAATTTTTCTTTCTTTTGGACTGAGAAGCTATGTCATGTCAATCCAGGTCAAACAGACAACTTAAAGACAAATATTATTTCAAAAATTCCTCAATTCTGCAACAAGCAGTTTAGCCATACCAATGTAGCCATGGACAGAAAAGTCTTACCAGAAAACCTACCCTCTAAGAAGCCAAGAACTAATTCATTTTTGTACTCTTAATGTAGATCTACACCTGTCATTCAGACTGGAACTACATCACAACCACCTGTTAAAAGTTTTGATACTCAGTTTCATTGCTATCAGGAACTGGTAAATGAAGTGTTTGCATCTAATTTCAATACCCTAGACAATACCCTGGAAAATGCATGGGCAAAAATTACCAATTCTCCAAAGTGCTGTGATGTATACTTTTGTGGTACCTGCAAGCAGTGCTCCTGTTGATTATGAACCCTAAGCGTGCAAGTTTAAATTCTGACACTGTTTGTCAGTTAGTGTTTTTAAAATGTAACACGGATATATTACTATAATTTTTTATGAAAATCAGCATTTGTAATCTTTTTTTCAAAAGAATGATAGAATAAAAACATTAATAAATTGGCTAAATAGCTTATGAAGTGTTATGTCACTGTATTGTGTATTATCACTCCTTAGCTATTTTATTACAGATGGTTTATTTTACTTTTAAAGCTACTTTAGTAAATAAAGTAAAATTATAACTATTATCATGCTGTATTTTATAATTGTAAGGTGACTGTTTGAATGTAGCTACCAGAGCCATCGCAAGATTCCCCCATGCCCCTCTTGTAAGAGGAATTTCGTGGTTTTTATGACAGGTTTTGGAAGAGGCCTCTGAACTCCTAGCCGCGTCACTGATAGCCACCACATGCACGAAAATCTTTTATTGTAATAGACTTGACTTAAGACTTGACTTGACATGTCACTATATGACTTGAGACTTGACTTGAGACTTGACCTCAGTGACTTGATACTTGACTTGAGACTTGCTCCAAAGCGACTTGAAAACAGCTCTGGTATATATACATTAGATTTAGGGTTAGGGTTTGGATTGCTAACCCTAACCAAGACAATGTATGTATACTCTTTTCATGTTCTCCCTATTTAAATCAGTTGATTTATGTACATTCTCTGCATGTTCTCCATATTTGAGTCAGTACTATTATTACTATTATCAATAATGGTAATAGTAATAATAGTACTACAATATAGTTGTAGTAAATATATAAAAGTATATATATATAATAGTAGTATAGTTTGACATTTTGTTTGAGGAAATATAAATTGACTCACGGTTTAGCCAGGTAATATGTATTTAAGGAATACATTTATTATAGTAATTTTAGTATTACATATATAAAATGTAATTTTTATTTATGTACAAAATAATTATTATAGAAATTAATTTTATTTATTAAGAAAAATGGAATCAGCTACACAAATGTTAAAAAGAGCGGTTGAACTTGATTCAAATAAGAAGTACTCAGAAGCAAAAGTTTGTTATGAAGAAGGCCTTGAAATGTTGTTAAAAATACTTCCTGCATTAACAGAAGAAGCATTAAAAAACCAAATTCGTATAAAAGTTTCTGCCTACATGAAACGGGCAGAAGAATTAAAAGACTTTATAGCAAAAAACAAATCAGATGGAAAGTTTCATGAAAGAATTGAAATAAAGGATAACCAGAGAGGTTGCAGTTATTGCAATTTATTTTCCAAATATATAGATGCAAACTTGACTAGTGTTTTTATCAATGATGCTTATATAAGAAGTCATCATCAAATTTTAAATTTACTAAGATTCTGTGAACTTTTGGTGAAAAAAGCTAAAAATCTTAAATCTATAAAGGTTTTAACTGGTAAATAATTGTTTTTTCTTTTTTATACACATTTTTGTTTAAAGTCATGAAGAGGGTAAAAACAAAAAGTTTATAGCCATGTGACCAATAAAGTTGTTAGAGGCAAAAGTTTACAACCATGTTTCTAATAAAGGGGATAGAATTAGGGGTTAGTTAAATAGAAGATAGGTAACCAAGGTTTAAATTATTTATATTTAAATAAAAGTTTTCAAGTTTTTGCAATTGTTAAATAAGAACCTGCATAAAAGAGTTTAATAAGAGTTTAATAACTTAAATATGCTTTAAAAGTAAAATCCTTTTTTATAATCTTTTCTTTCACTTGATATGAACGCTTCTTTAATAAACTTTGTTGTCCAAGGGACCAAAGAAAACTAACCTTTTACATAGAAATTAGCTTCTAAATTGCTTGTGAGTTTGTTTTTTAAAAGTAATCTTCATTCATTAATAAATCATTTCATTTTTAAAATCGGTTAATATTGCTTGTGGGTTTGTTATTCTTTTTTTTTTTTTTTAATGTACTTTTTACATTTTTATAAATACATCTTTTCATTTTTAAAATTGGGTTAGATTGCTTGTGGGTTTGTATTTTTTTTTAATTAAAATCTTTTAAAAAAACTTTAAAAAAAATTTTTTTTTTTTTAACATTAATATATTATAACTCTTTGTAAAGACTAAAAAGTAGAAAATAAAATAGCAAAAACATTTGCTTAAAAATATAATCTTTTTTGTACTATTAAGTGGAAAATAAACTTTTTAATTTAAATCGAATAGTTCAGTAAACTAAAAATTGACAGGTATGTTTCTATATAA